AACAATAGTCAAATCTTGCAAACCATATGCGGTAGCCTCTCAACAGTTTTTTCCGCTGCAACTGATCGGTATGAATTCACTTCTAAAGCTTCTCGAAGTAAGAGGTCCTTAGCTATATTGTAACGGTTATTCTGACACATCACTTACAGTTACATCCTAGATTATTCTATAGTATATCATTAGCAATAGTACGAAACCAGCAATTCAACTGATAGTCGTGTATTGCTATTATTTTCAGAGAATCTCTGCAACATCGACCAAATTCCAAATTTGCTTGAATATAAAACGATCACTGTTTATACCATAATTTGTTACATCCATCATTATATTACTAATTAGAGCATAGTGTAATGCACTAATTAAGGGGTTGATTTGTGCATGCCAATTAAGAAATCGATTTACATCTTTGCGCATAATTAACCGATACGTAATGGTCTGAGCTGAGCCGGTCGCGCGGGTTTGCTGCAATGAAGGTTTCATCTTTTAATCATTGGACAATTAGTCGCAGATCTTGACATGAGGGCGAACTACTGTCGTGGTAAAGTTTTATTCACAAACCAAAGTATGCAGCATACATTAGGTCGACTTTCTCCCAACGCATTGATAACAATCCACGGTGTAATTCTCGAGACTCAGACTCAGCGCTGTTCAACCTCTACGCTGTTTTTAAATTGTTAAGGCCAACCTACGTACAGCTACCACCACGCCACGCACGGCATTCTAACACGACCGAGCAATGTTATCGGTCAACCGGCGTCTGCTGGCATTGTTTGTTTTTGAGTGATCGTGCTTCAATTTCGATGCATCTTCGCACACCTTCTACATCTGTGCGATGAGTGGTTTACATGCACGAGGCGGTTCAAACTGTCCTGCCAAGAAATTTTAGATACAGAAGCTTAGCATCTGGAAGGAGATGTTGGGTATGATTCTTGTCGCAGCAGTGTATGTTGCCTGATATCAATTTTAGATTGCATTTCTGAAGGTCAAACATCGTACGACATCTGGCTTAGTCTGCTGTTTATATTTCTCTAGCCTTTGATGACATTGACAAAACAACACTATCAGTAACTGCTGGCATGCGCAATGATCAATGGTGACGAGGAGAGACAGATGATACGATAAACAATGCACTTCCGATTTACGTCATTAAAGACAGGGGCAGCTGCTACGATGTTAACCTAGATTCGGCCAACGATCAGCCAACTAAAGCCAGTCATTCGTTTTTACTGCATTGATTGTACGCACTGACTGTGCTTTACCTCAACGATGTCACTGTTTGTAAGCAACGGATCTAGGAAAGTTCACCGACCAGCAATTCGTCGAACGCAAAATTCACCGATTCTACAACTGATCGCCGATGATTTATTTATTAAAAACTATGAAACATAAAAAACTCATTTCATACCACAAAGTACTGTAAATATTTCTACAAAATTAAAATCTGCCGATTTTGAATTAATTTTGGCCTGAAAGTGATAATGATGTATGTACCTCTAAATTTCGAATAAAACAGATTTCACTGGAATAATTTAATTGAAAAAACTTCTGAAACAGTATTTACACGCAGTACCTAATTAATAATTTATATTATGTGACACACCCTCTCAAAAACTCTAAAACATTACTTCTGTCATAAATCGCAACTATTCTGAAAAGTTTAGCGCAAGCACTATATTTCTTACGCGCAGGGCTACCTTATTGGCCACTCACACATTGTTCAATTTGCAATATCCTGATGTTCTGCTCACGCTGAATCGTTTCAATAAACTACCAGATATTAGTGTTGTGTACATAACTGAATTTTGAATCCACAATGCCACTGTCCAATTGAATATTTTGTCTTCGGAAGAAGGTTTCTTACTCCTTCGTGACAGTGCCACATTTCTAAGGACAAGTAGGGCATTTGGTGTCCCATGCGTCGTCGAGGACGTTCAATCCAGCAGTCCTGAAAGTAATCAATCACGCCTTGTGCTTCTGCAGGCATGTTGTCACCGCTACCTCTAAGAATCTTCAATGCTCCTACTACAACTTCTGTTGGGACAAAAGTCGACGCAGACAGCAATCGCATTTTCACTGCAAATTCGACGTCACTTTCGAACCTTCTTTGAAGATTTTCTGCCTGAATCCTTGGAATATACTCTGTGAGAAACGCTAAAAACATTCTCAATGTCTAGCTCTTGGAAATTCTTGACGAATCGCACTGACTGCGGCAGGTTCGAATTCGGCCATAACTGTTTCTAGCAAGGCATCAGGTTGAACTAGGAAGGCAACAACCCAACACATATGGCCTCTATCTTGTCTTGTAGTAGAGCATACAAAAGCGTAATTGAACTCTTCACCTGAATACGATGGAGTCTATAAAGTTGGCAAGACAAATGAAGCAGTTTTAAAAGTTCTGTCTGTCCCCAAACCAATGTTCAGATAAAGCCAGTAAAGGGAGATTTCGTGCGGTGGAAAATATAACAACTCGATCTTTCAACGGTTCTGAATCAAACAACAAGAACGGTTCACTTTCTTTACTTATGTTGTACTTCTCGGGAAATACAATTTCCTCTCAGGTTATAGGAAAAGCTGGTGCTGCTTGCTTCCTTACTCAGATGTTTTGAATCGTTCTTCGCAATATGTCCTGCAGTAGCTTGGCTAAGTCCCACAGACGCATTAGAATAATACTGGGGTGCTTCTTGACCATTTATTGCGCGATCACGTCAACATCTATCTTCAAAGCTTCTATATGAGCTGCATCCCCAATATGGTTGTGAACTCCCCTCATAGATTCAGTGGCGTCTCCAACTGTCAAACCATCAGAAGCACAAACCCGGCACTTGTGCTTCTGATGCATCTCACACTTCCAATGTCTTGCCAGCTTGTTTTTCTTTGAAAAATAAGTGACCGTCCACTAAAAGTTTGCTTTCCCTTTTCAATCGTGACGAGCTGAAGGGTCATGACGGTTAATGAAAATTTATGACTAAAGTATCACACTCGAAGAACTTTTTGAAACTGGCCTCTTTAAATTTTCTGAGGTTTCATATAGGGGTGGAACATTATAATTATTGTGCTCCATAACATAATCTTTCAAATATGTTATTTCTAAATAAATGCATTAGAAAGAATTTATTTTGTGTGAGTAGGTAATGTCATGGCAATTATTCTGCCATTAACATAATACTGTTTTATGATCATCATAAATAAATCATCGACGATCAATTGTAAAATCAATGAATTTCCATTCGACGAATTGCTGGTCGGTTAATTTTCCAACCGGTGAACTTTCCGGATACCGTCAGCAAGAAACCTAGTCGATGAATATTACGTCCTGCTCTTTCTGTTTATGTGCTCTTAAGGTCATTCGACTCAAATTATGAATAAACAATTCAAAAACTATCTTAACGATACACTACTGCTTAGCAATCAGCTCCTAATTACGTTACATTCATTTTCAGAATAGTCGACTGCGCCACTTCTTCCGCTTTCTGCCTTGTCAGATTCTGTCTTCGGCATATTGCCCATCACACTATATTACAGAATCATGTCTAATGATGTGAACGTTATCGCTATCAACCTTACCTTTGCAGTGTAATTTATTAACTGAACTGAAAATAATCCGGAACAACGCAACTGCATTCGAACAAACATGTACACAAGGAAACAACGGATCTGCGATTAGTTGTGTATTAACAAACGCGACATGAAGACCTATGTTAGATGCAGTTGACAAGATGATCAGAAATGCTTGCAGCATGGTGATCTGAATCGCAACTGACAGCGGAAAAAGTTAACAGAGCACAGCAATATCAGCTTGTAATTCCAATGTACTTCAGCGTCCAAAATGCAAGTAGCTCAATAGCACAGCTGCATCGCATGAAGTAATCAGTCATGACTGTTTGAATTAGAAGCATGAAAGTCTTAAACTTCACTTGCATCGCGCTGGGTATGTCTGACTCTATGTATAAAAATTAAATTTCGAGAGCAATGGAAAATGGTCAGATGGCATCCATGAATTTGGAGCCGCCATCATCTTCAATTCACTCACCATCGGCAAAGGACAGCGCTCCGTACACAGGAGAAAGGGCTTTTCAAACGTCCCGGAAGACGTCCCAGTCTGAATGGTATCAGAATAGAATATGTGATCAACTGTTTTGAGCCCTAATACTGAAGTAACATGGCGACAAGGCGTCGTCTTCTCTGAATCATACACGGATCGAAGAGTCAATCGATGACCGACAACAGCGGGAAAAAACCGCTTTCGAAAGAAAACACGTACCGACTGCGTGGAACTTTCTTCAAGCAGGTCACACATCTCCTCTAATATGTTTGCGGACGGCGGCAGCAGCGGAAAACAAAGCTTTGGGCCCCCCAATGCTCCCTGACCAGAAATCTCATTTCTTCGCAATCCTTCGTAAGGCAGTGCACCATCAGCCACAAATTTGTGTAAAGGAGAGAACGGTGTGGCATTGAAATCACCGCATATAATGACTGGGTGAAAGGTCGGAAGATGCGTCTCAGGGTCATTCTTTTGTGCGGCCTTCTGCACGCGAGAAAGCAGCAAAGCCATCTGCGCAAGTTTGATGTCACCCCTTTTCAGGTTATACAACAGATGCGTGGTAGCAACGGTAATAAGCCCCTGCTTTGTACCATCATTTTTATCGTCAGCAGACTTGAGTGTAACGATTAAGCCGACGTTGTCACGATTCATCGCCGTTCTTGGCAGAAGATATTCGAGCTGGGTGCTTGAATGCAATGAAAATTTGCTCCGTCGCCAGAAGATTGCACAACCATCTGCCTTGTCATTTGTCCGCTTCTTGAATGTGCCATCGAAACCTCTGCCTTTGAAGTAGGCCATGTAGCAAGGTTCAACGTACTGAGCTTCAATCTCTTGCAGACAGAAAATATCTGCGTCCAAAGATTCGAACATCTTCTGTAGCAGCGGCCATCGAAAGCTCCACGTTAAATGCTCAGGTTTGCAGTCTGGGTACAGATCATACATCGAATCCAAAGTCGACTGGCACAAAACATTGTATGAGCAGAAGGTGAACGTTATGCAAGGCACAGTCGAGTGTGGCAACTGACAGCTGGGTGTGACCGTCTCCCATTGACCAATTTTGTTAGCGTTTTTACATTCACTCACTTGCCTCGACTTATCGACCCAAGAGCGAAAGAACTGCGAAGGATACGATCGGCTGGGGACGATCGAGAAATTGTTGGCCTGAAGATAGTTATCCGTCACAAATCTGTTGCCTATGCTTGGACGATAGTGAACACTGTTCCAAAACTGAGTCGATGGAAATGAGTAAGCTGACGACATAGGACGAATGGAGCAATCGGCCATCCTCGAAATTTTAACGCCCGTGGGGCAACACTGCAAAACCAGTTGTTTATACTTAAAAACAAGGCAAGGTTTCACTGATTCTTACCCCCTGAGAGCAGTCACGTTTCGCTCTGTCCATCACTGTTTTGGCTGATCGCAGATGGTTTTTCAAAAAAACTCGTTTCGGAGCCTGTTCACAAAAAATCGTCAGATATTGCACAAAATTTAGACCCAACAAATTTGCAAAACATCTTACGAAATGAATTAAATTATATGAAACTTTAAATACTTAAGCAAGATCAGCAAGAGAATTTTGCTTTTCTGCACAGCCAGAAACCGAAACAGTGTTATACATTATTTGAATTAGACAGGATCGGAATTAGAATAAGAATTCAGAGAGTAAAAAGAAATAGAATAAACATCTGAGAACAGAAATAAAATTGAACTAGCCTATTATGATTGATAAATGAAGAAATTGAGAAATTAATTGATACTTTAACTATGAAAACAAAAATATAATTATCATGACTTTCCGTAGTTGAAATTTTCGACCCCTCGACAAAAAACATCTAGGTTATGAACTGTGTGCCTAGCTGATTGACGAGTCCCCTGATTGAGGATAGGGAACGATCTCCAGACCTGGGGTTAGATGCGAGTCCCGGACAGGCAGTGGTGAGACCATGAGACCATCAAGGCGTGGCTGGGTTCGAGTTGGACAAGTGCGATTCTCAGAGAAAAACCAGTGTCCAATGACAGTCTCATGTCATGGCCATCGAGAACCACCTTTCTGAAGAAAAATGGTCGCCAGTATCAACGCTGCATTTCAGTTGGATGTTGGCTACGGCAAGAGGACGCAACTTCGACCAGAAATCGGTGGCATTGGGGGACACATCTGTACGAAGTTCGCCAGGCTATCATCAGCTTTGCTGATGGGTGGCGAAACTTTATATACCAAGACAACATGAAGTATTGCGGTCGAAGCGATTCGTAACCGAATACCGTCTGGTTCAGATGATCTAGGTGACGAAATCACATAGCATAAACTTTACGACTCTAGGCCAAGTGCTGAAATTGTTAAGTGGTTGGCCGATGCATAATCAATGGCATCAAACAACGCAGATGTTGACAGTTTATCGTCAACGCGTTTCGCTACGTACGCTGTAGCATCATCGGGGTACAACTGATATGCATAGGAAGCAAGTTGCCTTACCTACACAAAAATGCATCAATTTTATGTAAGTGGCAGAATAACACCAGATCTTATTTCTAACTTGATAAGAAAGTCTGTAATGAACCTAATGAATGGTTCGCATTAAAAATTTAAAATTAAGAATATATTAGCATAAATTTGGTGTTAATTTGCCACTCACTTTAAACTGATTTAGTCCGTATGTAGAAGGCAACTTGCTACATGCCATACCATTTGTGCTGTGAGGATGCTACCATGTGCCAAACGAAACAACGCTTACGGTGAATTCCACACCACAATCAGACATAGTGGTTCTGAATTACAGTTCCAAGACTGCATCCATAAGAGAAATTTCTATCGTCTTAGAGAAAAAGTAAAGTACATTTGAGGCAACACGGAAAATTAAAATCGCACACTCTAAATACCTCCAACAAACACACTATATGAACACGGATACAAAACAACTTTGGATGCTATCTTTGTTGGAGCTTGGGATCATGGGACGATGCATGATGATTGGATTATAGCTACGTTAGGCACAGTTTCAGGAAAACGCTTAAGAAATAGTACGTTAACGGTATAGCAAGTATGTACTGTGAGATTTATAATGCCAACAGGAACGTTAGGAGCAAAATTAATTTTCAGTGCCCTTCCAGAAGAGAAAACTGAAAATAAAGAAAAAGATGAAAATCAACTAGTAGAGATTTCAGACACTGAACACTCCGGTACTGTCAATGATCTTCATAAACAGGAGGTCTGGACTTCAGAACCGCTTAAATATGTATAAGTAAACATTTTCGTACAGAATATTTACCTCAATAAAAGGTTATCTGCCACTCACTTTAAATGAATGTAGTTTGTATATAGGCGACTTGCTGTATGCCATATCACTTGTGCCCTGACAATGCTATGGCATCAGTAGCGAAACGTGTTGGCAATAAAGTGTTAACATGTGCGTTCTTCGGCACCTTCCGCCATGAATCAACAAATCATCTACAATAAATGAAGAATAATTCGATCCAGTTCAAATTTACTCTGCATGTCACGCGAAGCTCCATCAATTACCCTGAATAACTGCACTAACATATATTAGCACGCAAATGCAGACAAGCAGCCATAAACGTATAAGCATGGAATTTATAACTGGGTACTGTTCTCCATTTCAATAGCGCAAAAGAGAAGGAAAATTGTCGGAAGGAAATATCTAGAGACAATTTTCATACATGCCAAGGTTATAAATTTCTCCACTTTTAATGCAAATAGCTTTGGGTGTGACACAAGACACTCCTTTTATTCCGATGTTTCTGTCAGCGGCACGGACGTGATGATCAAGGAATTTTTCCATAACACGATGATACAGTATATAATTGGGCAATAAGGTGAGAAACTACAAAAAAAGCCGCAGTGTAAAAGACAAAAAAGCAAATGTACAACAAAACTTGAAGAAACAGTTCAAGCATAGATGAATCGGGATTTATTGGAACAGAAAAATGAAAGACAGCAGCCATGTATAAATCGTATAAATTATTCGGGGAGGGGGGAGGGCGGCATATAACACTGTTATAAACGTCTTCGGTTGCGACGAGCCACTTTTCTCCCTCTACAGTTGCCGGATGTGGTAAATGGCCGCTTATCTGGGAGGGGATGTGACAACTAGCGGATTCCATTGATCTTAAAACCTATCTCCTTTGCGACAGCGTATTG